GGGTTTATAGGGGGAAATAAAAACCCTAATTAGGGTTTATAGGGAGATAAGATCAGCTACTAGGGTTTATCAATAACTATTAGGGTTTATAGTGTTAGGGTTTATACACTAATTAGGGTTTATAAGGAGATAACAGCACTGATTAGGGTTTAGGGTTTACCAATACCTTATTACCTATATATATAAACCCTAATCGGTGTTACTAAACCCTAAACCCTAATAACTGTTCTTACCTTTTTATAAACCCTAATTAGTGTTTTCTATAGGCAGAAACACCAATTAGGGTTTACAAGGAGACAGTAACACCAATTAGGGTTTATAAGGAGACAGCAGCACCAATTAGGGTTTACGAGGAGACACACCAGCAACAACTATTAGGGTTTACAAGGAGACGCAGCAACAGCTATTAGGGTTTATACAGGCACAGCAACAATTATTAGGGTTTATATAGAGACAGCAGCAGCTGTTGCTGCTGCTGCTGCTGCTGCTGTTGCTGCTGCTGCTGCTGCTGTTGCTGCTGCTGCTGCTGCTGTTGCTGCTGCTGCTGCTGCTGTTGCTGCTGCTGCTGCTGTTAGGGTTTACAGAGAGATAAAAAGAGCGTCTAGGGTTTATAAAGAGACAGCAGCAGCAGCAGCAGCAGCAGCAGCAGGAGCAGGAGCAACAGCAGCAATTAGGGTTTATAAATAGATATAAACCCTTTTTTAGGGTTTATAAGTTGGTAAAAAGATCAATTAGGGTTTACAAAGAAATAAAAAACACTTTTTAGGGTTTATAAGAATATAATTAGGGTTTATAAATACCTATTAGGGTTTATGAATATATATATATATATAAACCCTAAACCCTAATTTAGGGTTTATATAGATAAGAGAGGATATATGTTTATTTTTCTCTCTTTTCTTCTTCTTTATTATTTATACACTAATTAATTGTCTATAAAAAACCCTAAACCCTAAAACCCTAAACCCTAAAACCCTAAACCCTAAACCCTTTAAAGGCCGGGAGCGTAAACCCTCAGACATTCTTTACTGTTGCTGTCTACATATAATTATTATTTAATTATACATAATATATATATAATATTATTTATTATATATATACTATTTATTTATTATTTATTATTTATATTATTTATTATTATATATATTATTTATTATATATTATATATAATGCCTATATGTATACATATACATATACATATACATATATATATGTATATATACAGTGCGCGTCTGTATATGTGAATATGCACGTATTATATATATAAATACGTATAAATACGTATAAATATACATATAAATACGTATTTATACGTATTTATATGTATTTATATGTATTTATACGTATAAATATACATATATACACTAGGGGTAGGTATTCCCTTTCCTTATAAACAAAAAGACAAAAAAAAGGTCATTAATAGTCTTTTTTATCTATTAATTACCCTTATAAATAATAAATAAATAATTAATTAAATAAAAAAGAATAAATAAAAAAAAAAGAGCTGCCTATACACCCCAATTAGATCTATATATGTATATCTCTATTCAATGTTATTTGTATAGGGGGTAGGTATGTCTAGGGGCAATAAATGCATAAAAAAAGAAGAAAAATAAATATATTTATTATTTTTATTGTTATTTATTATTATTTATTGAATAAATAAATAAATATTTATTGTTTTATGCATAAGATCTATATAAAATAAAGAAAAAAGGAGGAGAGGTATGTATATGTGTATATATTATATATACATTGAATAAGGAGGGGGGAAGAATAGATGTATATATGCCTCCCCCCCCTCTCCTTATGGTGCAAATAAAGTATATAAATATATAAATAAATAAAAAATAAATAAAAATAAATAAATAATAATAAAAAAACAATTAAAATAATATATTTAATGATGAATTAACAACATTGAAATTAATTGGGGTGTATAGGCAGCTATTGCTGCTGCTGCTGCTGCTGCTCTCTCTGTATTATTGAATAAGCAGGAGGGTATAATTAGGGGTAAATAGGGGTATAAATAGGTTATTTTTGTTGTATTTTTTGAATAAAAGAGTAAGAAAATGTAAATAAATATAAAAAAGTAATTATTTAGCAAAGAATGTATATAATTAATGGATTAGACGCAAAGAGAGAGAGAAAAAAGAACACACACACACACACAGGTTGGCGGCCACCTATCTGTGGTGTATGTACAACTCTGTACCGTTGTTGCTGGTTATTTTCTTATAAAGAATGTCGGGAAAAAAGGATAAAAAAGGTATTAAATAAAATAATTATATAAATAAATAATAAATATAATAAAAAAATAATAAAAAAAGAGGTATTATTTATAAGAAAGCACCACAACCATCATCAGCTGCTGCTGCTGCACAACAACAACCACACAAGCAGCAGCAGCAGCAGCAGCAGCAGCAGCAGCAGCAGCAGCAGCAGCAGCAACAGCCACAACAGCCACAATAAAATATAAGAATAATTTAGTTTGCAAAAG